TTGGAGGAAACAAAAGAGAATTTCACAATATTTTTTTTAGTATATAGGTATTGACTATAAGTTTTAAAGTGCTGAACAGTTACGGGTTAATGCTAAATGCTAAATAACGTTTCAGTCTTTCGCAAAAATGCTAGCATAGTGTTACAGTAGCACAAGTAAAGTTTCAGCCTATGGTTTCAGCACTACATATGTAGAATATACGTTTTAAAGCGAGATTATGTAATATTAGCGACTACTGTGGCTGCACGTGGCAGTTATTGCTAAAGGCTAACAATTGGTCAGTGATTAGCTAAAATCCTAAAGTATTGTTATAGTAGCAAAAGTGGAGTTTCAGCACAAGATTTTTAAAGCTAGAGTAGATGGACTTTTATAAATGAATGACCATCCGTTACATTGAAGCCCTTGTCAAATGAGTTAATACAATGCATCCTGGCCTCATTCCTAAATGAAAAAAAGTGTCCCAAAACTGTTTTCCAAAACAGCATGTAAAAGTGTTGGTAAGTACTAGTCCAGCAACAGGCTTACTGGATCTTCAGTACGTTACATAAGTCCCGTAACTTTGTTTAGGTTTACATAACAGAACTACTTGGTTAGGTTTAAGAAAAGATTGTGGTTTAGGTTGAAATTAATCATTACATAAGCCTTGTGTTGTAAGTAGTAAGTCACATGACAAAACACGTTAACTTTGATTATCTTTCAAATGAGAACCTCGTTCTCCTTAGTGAAAGTTCTGAGTTTACTTGACCCTCCTTTCACGCACTATGTCGCTCTACAACATCTTCTGCCACTAGAGGTCACAGCTAAACTCAAAAACTTAAATATGGGTTGTAATAAACAATATAATAATCTTGCGAGGATGGTCTGCACAATGCTGATTAAGCCTATCACCCCCAGGCCAATCAATCTGGAGTATTTGGAGTATAAAATAGTTGTTAAACCTTGAGTCTGTGGTGACATTCCAACCAGAAATGACTGGTTTGCCAGAGCTGAAGGGGGAGCATCCGTAGCAACAGCTTCAACTCAGTATGGCAGAGCCTATAAACACGTGTCGACAGTGTTGTGTAATTACTATCAGAAAAGGGAGACAAACGTTCTGTACTTTTATTGCAGATGATATGCAGTGGTACATTTCTTTTGATCCTAATGATCTTAACAGACTATTGATTCTCCATGACTGCACTTTAATATTGACAAAACTGAGGTATGAATCATCGCTCCAGCTCACATTGGCAAAACAGATCAACAATCCTTTGGTTCTAGATGGTTATCTAGTGAGTACCAGTGTGCAAGATTTTAGGATTACGATTTGACTCCAGTCTATGTTTAAACAAACACATCACAAAACTGACCCCGACAAGTTTCCTGCAGCTCAGAAATACTGCAAAAATTAGATCCATCATTACACCTCAAGACAAAAAAAAAAGCTCCCGTTTAGACAACTGTAATGTTCTTTTTTCTCAACTTCAACTTACTCCCATTTTAACTTCATTACAGTGGCTCCCAGTTCATTACCCAGTTTGTTTAGAATCAATTTAATTTAATTACCTATAATTTATTACATGATAAAGCCCCAGAATACACTGTAGAACTGTTACTGTTAGTGCCCTTTGCACTATCTGAGGTCATCAGAGCAATGCCCAACAATCAATATATTTAAATCTAGTTTGAATTATGGTTTGGCCATTTTGCAGTAATTAATTTTATTGTAATTATTGCACTGATTTTGTATTTAACATTACTTTTAGCCCTTTTTGTTGTTGTAATTTTGTAATGTAATGTTTTTATGTACTTTTAATTTAATTGTTAAACACTGTGTAAACCTTTGTTTTTGAGAAGTGCTATTCAAATAAATATTCTTTGTAGTACAATGCCCTTTATAAAGTTTGGTAAAATTAACTGCCATAAGATACTGATTATACCAGACCAAGTGAGGTTAAAGCAACAAGCACACAAAAGTATACTGAATACAGCAATGGTGTTTTATTGTATAGGAATTCAACTTTTTATTCTTGAAGAAGGATGTGTTATTTTTACTAATGTATTGAACATTTTACCTTTTTTTCAGGTTTCAAGGTGCTTTAGAATTAAAGTATTATTAAGTATTAACAAGAAATTATTGTATGTTCAAACTTCAACCAACTCTAAATTTCATCCAATTCCACTTCAAGAGTTTTTCATCTTCTGATTACTACAAGAACCCTTCTACTGTCTTTGCTATGTCTAGCTCTTATAAGTGATCTTTGTGGTTTTGAAAACGCTATGCAAGAGGCTATCATATACAGTAACCTGTGAATATGTAAGAAAGAACACTTTCCACATCCCTTCCTGTAGGTTTGTGTGAACTGCATCACAATGAGCACAAACAGTGACCTTGGTTACTCCTGACTCGCACTTAAAAAATCTCAGATGTTTTGTTTTTGCCAGGTTCAAAGCTTTGGAAACTATGTCAATACCTGTAAGGAGACAACATATTTACCAAGCAAAGATGCATAACAAGTTCATTGCAATCTCTTGCATCACTGTGAATTATACTGTCAGTTGTATTCATGAACCTCTGTGTGCTGTCGAGATGCAGCAACAGCTAAGAGACACTAGTTGGCTAACAAATTTACATTGTTGCGGGTCATCACCTGTGTTAGATTTGCATACTTGACTACAGTTATTGCTTGAATTTAAAAGTGACATAATGGAAGAACCAGTGCAAATTGATTCTGGATTTCATATGTACTCTGCAACAGATTTTAGCAGATATATTTTTGATATATTTCTAGATAGAAAGGAAATGTATTTACCATCAAAAGATGGATCAAAGCAGGTCATGGTCCAATTTGAGCTCATGATACCACGTCAAGACCAACAACAACGCAAAAGAAAGGAGACAAAATGTTGTGGGTCTTCCTAACTTTCTCCCAATTTGTAACGTCCAATGCGCTGTGTGGAATACAAACAATACAGTAATCCTTACTGGCTACCTTCCAGTTACAGTAACATGCTGCTGTGGACCATATATTTTGTATGAAAGTTCACTTACAGGAAAACTATGGTATAGTAATTAACAGTTAACCTATATTATATTTACCATGGCAAATCTAAAATATTATTAAAATTTAACCTACTTTTTTGTTCCAGTACGCCTATAGTAAAAAATGTCTTTAGGGCTGGGGGAGTTGCACTGTTGGAATTTGCCCCCGGACACCAGTATTTCTAAAATTCAGGAGATCTCCCTGGTTAATTGGTTGGCTCAAATGGAGACAGTGTATCACCTGCATATGTTGGTGCAGTGGGTGTACCAACACATAATACCCCAAACTGATAAAAGAGGCCCCAAACATTCATTGACAAGGGCCACAATTTTTGCATCCAAAAGCTGAAGTATTACAGCTTCATTTCCAACTTAAATGGTTCCCAAACTGTCTTAGAGGTGTAATAGTCGATTTTGACCCGACTGAAATTAGAGGTACAATTTAAACTGCTGGTTATAGATCGCATCTGGAATCCTCATGTCTTTTCAACATTGCTGTGTTGAATTAATTGACCAGGGTACTCTATAGGCAAGTCTTCTCGTCAGGGCCGTAGGTAGACATGGAGCCTTAGGTGTTGTCTCTTGAATTTTGGGGGCTTTGTGAGGAAGAATTTACATTCTGTTGTTACACATTTTTAAGGCTTATTCAGATATTTCAAATGGGAAGACGACCATATTCTTGAATTTGCACGCTTCTAGGCCAAAATAAGGTCTTTGAAAACCCTGAGCCTGAAATATGATTGGCCACCCAAGGTTCCACACCATTATTCCACCATATTATAAAACTGTGATTGTCTGTGACTGCCTGGTCAGAGGTGGGACATTATTCTCACAGAATAAAGCATGACAGCTTTAAATAACATTTGTAACGTTGCTGCTCTGTTGTGTAGTGATTGGTAGGTCTATTCATCTTTTAAATAAAATTCGTAACACAGGAATGTAAGATACTGTTATGTTAGCAATTAAAGTACATATGAGAAATGCTAAATTAATGCTATTCCGACGTGTGTGTGTGTGTGTGTGTGTGTGTGTGTGTGTGTGTGTGTGTGTGCAGACATACCATATGCCATCCCTACATAAGTCAGTGCCCCACTTGGGCCACCCTAGTCAAAAAAGTCTGGACATGTCACGTCATGTTAAAACAACATTTAATATTCTTTAAAGGAGATAACAGTCATAGAAAATACAATGTTAAATAAATATAGAAAATGTAAAAAAAATTACAATATTATGAAAGTTTGTCAGGTGGGTGTAACCATAAGACAGAGAGGACATGTCTTGGTTGTTGTCTGTGGGATTTGGGGGATTTGAATAGCATGAAAGAAGAAGTGTTAACACTTTGCAGTTACACAAAAATTACACATGGTGTGTTTTAAAGGCTCATTCAGATAATCTTAAAGAAAATATTCTTAAATGTTGCTATTTAAAGTCCAATATAAATCCTTTGAATCAACATTTAGCACCTTGCAAGGAGATCAAATTTTCAGAATATAAAAAATAAAACTGTTAAATAATAAAATGTGAAAATATAAGAACATTTTATAGACCTTTTTGGTTTGTTAAACATTTCTTAGTTTGTACTGTCATGGAGCCCTGGCTCAAGTCAAATGAAGACAGTGTACACGTGTCTTTGTCAGGCGTCACATTAGGTGCAGTATTTGAATGCACCTTTAAGGGAGCTTACTGTGATTGAAGCAGGCCTGACTAACTTGCACAAGGTTCCTCGGATGGCCGAAGGTGAGCCTCGCAGTCATCACACACGCCTCGGTGGAGCGTCGGTGCTTTGTCTGGATCAGGCCTTTCAACTACAAAAGCCTCATCAAAAATAGTCTCCCCATCGCTATTTAACCCCCGTCTAGTTCCTCGAGCTCATCACATGCACATTGTGAAGCACCATTTCTTTTAAATCATTGATTATTATTGTCAGATGTTGGCTGTTTATTATCAGAAATAACCTCTTTTCATTTACTTACTTCTCTCTATTCAGATGGACTGAAAGAAATCATTTAAGTCTTTAAGGAACTGAATGTCTTTTATTTTCAGCAAAAGGATAAAAACATCATTTGCACAATTCTGCCTCTTCAAAATAAATAATAATACATATCGGTTGTACATGTTGACTCCCAATTGTAACATGTAACTTGTTTAAGCTGGATAAACAAAACTGGCACAATGCGGCACATGATTATTATCATACAGTATGTCCTTTCACCATCAATAAACAAACCATGGACATCAATGATTTCATTTCTGAATGACAATATATGCTGGACTCTGCAAACTACAGAAGCAAAATTCATTTACTTACAAACTGCAACTTCACCCAGTTACGGACTGTCACTTCAGAAACAAGTAATTTTTTCTAGAGTCTAGGTGGCGTGAACCTCGCTATCAAACACAACAAAGACAGATCCTTCAGCAAAGCTTTCTCATGTAGCAAATGTTCCCAGTCCCCCGCCCCCTATACAAAAGCAGAACAACTGAATTATAGCTCAGAAATCATACATATTGGACTTGGCCATAGAAAGGCGGAAGAAAAAACAGACTCAGACAAACACTACATTGCAACATCTGCAAAATGTATTGTTAGAATAAGAGAAATGATATGCTTTCCTGTTTTACCCAGTGGAGACATCAAACTGTCGAGCGTGTCATTCTTTTTATTATTTGCACAACTTATGTCTTCACATCACTTCCTTAGCACATCAACTACTTGTTTATACTGCACTTTTCATATAGTGTTGAAATGTTTGACAGAGTCCATGAATAATGTTGCTCCGTATTTAAATGTTTATGAAAAACAGCTTCTCAACACCCCCCCTCCCCCGGAACCCCACAAAAAAAAGAGGAAGAAGAAAATAAAAACCCATAGAAATCGGCAAATTTTATATGAACAGTCAAGTGACTGCTGATTAGCCGCCAGGGAGACAGCATTTCATGAGAAACGTTTATGTTTCTTTTAGCACAAAGATAGCAAAGGAATGCATCAAAGCAAGAGTGCTGGGCCCGTGCCCATCGCTGGAATGAAAGGACAGGTGCCTCCCCATAAGAATGCTCCAACATGTATGCATTCTGCAGTCAATAGTTGGACTGAAGCCCAAAATCTGAAACCTTTAATGTCTTTTGCACACAAGGTTTCCTCCTCAGTCAAGCCACTTTTGAAGTCTGTGTCAAAACTCACCATGGCACGCTTTTGAAAATCCATACAAGGAGGTAAACAAACTGAAAACCTTTGAAGTCAAAGTGTTTTTCTTTCAATCTCGCTTGTGTTGTCTTTGAATCTTCCTCCAATGCACTAAGGCAGACAAAATCATTTTCTCTGACAATATATTACTCTTATTTTTTTTATAAGTCCAAGAAATGTTAGGAGAGAAATTTAGGGGCTAAGAGAAGACACCGGTGCCGTCGCTGTTGCCATACAGGTCGGCCAGCTTTTTGAAGCGTGGTCCCCAGCTGCTGAGATAGTCATAGTTCTGATCTGAGTCTGTACTTAGTGACTCCAGTGAGCTTAGCGACTCTGCTACAGAGCCGCTGCCTTCAAACGCATATGTCTGCAGAGAGTCATATGGGGGAGCTGACGGGTCCACATCAGCATCCTTAAGTCGCTCCCAAATAAACTCTCGAAACACCACGTTGTCCGGCAGGGATTTATAGGCCGGGCGAGTGGTTGATGGGTAATGAAAGAAGGTGGGAGTATCTGGTGTGACATCTCGCCGCACGTTGGGGTCTCTGATGACGTTTAGGTTGCGGAGGGCAACCATGTCGAAGGCCTCTGTGTCCTCCTCGCCCCCGCCCTCGTCGTCGTAACGTACGATGTTCTCTCTGATGTCCCTTTCCTCCTCCAGAATCAGAGGCTCCTTCCTCCTCCGACGCATTGTCACAATTAGCAGGACCATGACTGCAGAGAAAGGGAGAGATGTCTGAGTCAATACTGACTGGCAATGCGCATCTTTTCTGTGCAACTCAGCTAAAAAGGTACATGGTACAAGGTAGATTTACTTATACATATATATCAGGGCTGACCCCGAATAGTTGAAGATTCGATGGGTTGAGCCTGATTCGACTGTCAATCTCACAGTCGAAGCTTCGCAGTGAAACAAAGATCATGCCATTTTGGCAATATGGGGGTGCTCAACATCTGATTTTACATAGAACTACCAGTTTTCTGACAATAACTTAATAACGTTACAATACACATTTCAACATTTAATGCTGTAAATTAACATGTAAAAAGAAAAAAAAACTTTCAATAAATGTTTTTAAAGTGCGTGAATAAATCCAAATTTGTAACCCTAACCTTGGGTCTTCAGTGCGCATGTATAGGTATAGCGTGTATGTATGTGTGTAGTGGCAGGAGGAACACTTGGAAGAGACCTAGCCTCAACTTCATGGTGTGCCGAGTTGTCCGCACCTCGCTGTACTTTTGGATAATTTTTCACCACAAAAAGAATATTATATCGTTTTTAAACAGCTGGCTACTTGAAATAGACCCGGAGGAACCGCAACATGCATGCAGTTGTCGGTAGGCATGTATGCAAACTCTGACCGGTGAATGGCAGGCGAGAGAGAGAGAGAAAAGGGTCAATAAGCTTCAGTTTAGCTTCAGCTTGCAATCGCCATGCACAAAAACACACATGATCGACTATCAGTCAACTACAGGCAGAACTTGATGATTCTGATTCGACTATGTAATCCTTAGTTGGGGACAGCCCTAATATATACACACACACACACACACACACACACTTGAAATAGTTAGCTAACAGTAATGGATACATGGTTGAAATGGTTCAGCTTAAAGCAAGGAGGCTTAAACCACCCACACACTGATAGTACAATTGTATGGAAATATTATTGTAGGCTACCAATGTCCACTTTTATATAGACGATAGTGTTAAATAACATCCTGTTGAAAATCAGTTCAAATGAATACATTTGAAACATGACAGGTGGTGTCAGTGAAGGGGTGTTTGAGTTCATCTAGCTAAAAAGGTTGGGGCAGGTCTGCACTATGAATCTAATCAGGGTTTACTAAAGTAAACCTGCAATGCAATATATTGTGCCCCTCCGTGGTTTCCACCACCTACATTTAGTTTTAAGACTTCCACCCAACTGGAATCTGTGGCCCTCTGAGATCTTAACAGAAGCCCTCCTCCAGCCCCCGTTCCCTCTCCCATACATTATTGCTGAAAATAACTCTACGCCCAAGCAAACTGGCAAATGTCTAATGATCCTCTATCCATCAATGTCAAGCTGGTGCCAGTGAAATATCGTTCCGTGGGCCCATATTTCTTTTCCTTCTCTGTGTTGAGCTACTGCAAGCAGCAGAGAAAGAGGCCCAGGAACCAAATTCAAACACCACTTCACAACGTCTAATAAGGGAGCAAATGGAAGAGATGGAAGGGAAGAAAGTGTCACATTGAAAGGCTGCGGGAGATGAATGGGTAGCTCTCTGTTGGGTATTTGGTGACTGCTGGTACCCTACTACAGCAGCACAAGTAACACCATTCAACCATTTTTGTGAAATATTTAGAATTGTCCTCCCAGTCTAATATCCACTACTGATATCCATGACACCTTTTTTAGTGCTTTAAGACAGAATGGCAAATATTTCTGTGGAAGATTGTTTCCCCTGATTTTAGTAACTCAAGTCATTCTAAATTCTATTCGATTCAGTCGTGCTTCTCCAAAGTGAATTGCAAAGTGGCACATTGAAATAGAATATTCTCAGTGCTTTCCAGCAAAGCTCTTTAGGGTTTAATGCCTAGAAGGCAACCACGATGCGTCACAGACTGGAAGCGGGCCAACATCCAATCACGTCCTACTAGGATGAGCAGGTGGGTCGCCGAGCATATAAATAGTCATTGTCAGGAACCAAGGGCCCTGTAAGAAATGATTTCCAGCCCAGACAGTTTAGCAAACACATAACCATAATGCTATAGGAGCCCCACTCTTCATAACACATTTACTGATGATGTACACTAAATGAAAAACAGAGATCAATTTAGTGTTACAAAGGCTTTTGCTGTAATTGAATTGTTTAAATGATCTACCCCGCACAATCGATAGTGAACAAGGTGAGTTTTCTGTGCTGCCCTTTTCTTACCAGCATGAATCAGTGAATGTGCTTTCTCATCAGAGTATTTGTTCCCCCCCATGTGCTGTGTGATTTTGGTGAACTTGGGACTGATTATTCATTAATTTTATCACCCACACACTTCCTATGTCGCTGCTCTACTGCAGTGCAATTTCTAAGAGAGTTATCAATTGGCAGCTGAGACATTGTCTGACAAGAAAGGAGGCTTTTTGTTTAATACTAACCAGTGGTAGGAAGATTGTTTATTAAATAAATAAACCATCCTTCCCAAATGTTTAAAGGCCCTGAAAACCTGTTGTTGCTTTTAAACTCTGATCAAACCACATGAACACAGTCTCAGTGAAGCACATTATCTGAGCTTTTCACTGCTAAACTCTTAATAAACAGTACATTTTTTTTAAACTTTGATTGTTGCTTACTTAGTCACAACTATGCATTGTTATAAGAAAGACGTTTTTAGCGGTTTTAAAGCATACAGCGCTTGCTGAGGTTGAACAGGATGTCCCCCGATACATTGCTACATCAGTGAAAGTGACTAAAACTCTAAAACTTGTTACTGAAAGAAATGTAAAAATAATAATAATTGAAAAAATTCTGTCTGGACAGAGCATGCTGCCACAGTTTAGCTTCTGATTAAAAGCTTGATTTGACGGGCAATTAATTAACCAGCTGTTCAGTATCCACTGTACATATAAAAACAGCATGGGATTTTTCATAGCCAATTAGTACACAAAGCTGGACAGAATATTTTAACTCTGAAGGACTTGATATAAATTCTTCTCATATCTATTCACAGCTATACCCCGCCCACATATTCGGTTTCCATAATAAATAATTAAATAAACACTTTCAATGCCATTGACTGACAATAATAACAATTGAACTTTGTTTTTGTTTTTTTAACAGTGTGTCATTGTTGATTTGAAATGCAGTTCAATTAAAAGACTTAGTTTCATCATTGTGAATAGACTTATGGCCTTTTCACACCCAAAAGTAATATTTTTGTTACATTGTATATGTTTGATCAGGTCAGTTTTGGTTTCACATTGCACTTATCTTGCACACTAAAGAACTATACATGACAAATTTGATTCAACAGATTTATATCGTTGCCACAATATTATTATAGCAGTGCCAACTTCAAGTGCAGTAGATTAGTTGCATCCATCCATCCATCGTCAACCGCTTATCCTGCGTACAGGGTTGTGGGGGGCTGGAGTCAATCCCAGCTATAGATGAACCATGGTTCAGTTTGACATGTTGACCTCTTTTTGTCAAACCAAGATTCAGCTGTTCATTCCTCTAATTTTGGTTTGGATCAAACTGAAAAGTCCAAAAGTCTTCAACAAACAAGGTAGGTGTGAAAGGACCCTTAGAGATTTCGGGAACACCCCACATTGTTTTTCCTTTCTAAAACACTTTGTAACTACAAGGGCTGCTACAAATGATTAATTTCCTTACCAATTAATCTTGCATTGTTCTGTTTATACAGTTTTGGGCTGTTTGTCTGACCAACAGCCCAAAACTCAAAGATATTCAGTCTAAAATCACAGAAATGGTGAAAAGCAGCTAATCCTCACAATTGAGAATCTGGAAACAGAAAATGTTTGGCTTTTTTGCTTAAAAATTACTTAATTAATTAATTCTGAATGATTGTTCTCTGTTGCATTTTAGCTCTAAAACGTGTAACTATGAGAATAGTGAAGAAAGCAGGGTTTAGACTCATGAGGAGGTCTCATGCATCCTCATCCACATGACAGATATCACTCTCCTGCATGGATGATATTGCAACAAACGCATTCTGCACCGTGACTTGATGAAGGGCATAGGAACAAACAGAATGAGCCGACACAAAACCTCCATGTTATTGGCTAAGAGTGCTACATTTTATTATTTGTCAGTGCTGCTGTATGTTTGCTGCAATATTCAAATAGATTTTATGGTTTCTTTGTTGTTGCTGATGTTATCTATCACACTTTTTACTGTGTATCTGTCCACAATATATGCCTGTGCTTCTTTACTGTCTTTTCAACATTTCTGTCTTTATTTTGTTCTTTGTATCTTTCTGCAAGCTGTTAGCATTTTTTCTCACAATTCCCTTACAAGAGTTCTTTTTAGCTTTTGCCAGGCTGTCATTATGAAGACAAATCTGCTGTTAATTGACTTGCTTACTAAAACAAAAAAGAGAGGGGCTGATTTCCATTTCTTCTTTTTTATTTTATTTTTAGCACGTCAACCAGTGTTGTAGTGATGCAAATAATTACACAGATAAAGCACACAAATCTGATGCAGCCAGTTGCAGGTTCCAACGTGCGCAGTCGAGCTTAAAGATCACATCTGAAAAAGAAACTGTCCGCTGTCTGAATAAAGACTTATAAATAGAGACACAGACAGAGGGCTAACAAGGGAGACACACCGTAAAATAGGAGACTGATGAATGGCCACAAAGATTTATAGAATGAGTCTGATAACCAATACTCAGACAGAAATAACTGTCTGGAGATTTGGAGTGCTACGTAATGTCCTAATTGGCCCTCTGGAGGATTCAGCAATACCTGACCTGCGCTGGGAAAAAAGGCACTGGATCTTAACAAGATAATGATCGTCTCAGTAGTTTGGATGTATCATCCAAAAGTGACTGTATCATAAAAAAAAAGGTTTTTAAATGACATTTACAAAAAACATAGATGTGCCCTGGCGTTTTCAGGCATATTACTGCAAGGAGTAGAGGACAAGCCCAGTAATTAAATCTAAAAATATCAACCTATGATTAATGACCACTTAGCTTATGAGCACGTTGAGGCACAGCTAATGCACATACAGCTCGGTGTGGCTTAAAGGCAGGCAGGTGGAAACTGCACACTTTGCATCAACTGTTGTGATTGAAGTTATCAGACACAACTCTGAAGAATCCTAGGACAAGGAGGCGTATTAGGAGTGGCACTCTGAAGGGCTCTCCACGAGCAGCCTGCATTGTAGTTATTAGACATGACAACAAATAACTACAATCAGTGTGTTGCTGGTAGGACTGTGCGTTCCTTTCACCTGATGGGAAAGAGAGAGTTTGATGGTGGAAAGGGAGGAGAGAGGAAAAAAAGAAGCAGATTTAAGACTGACAGCACCTGAGGATGATGGCAGCGAGATGCAGCTCAGGTCTTATTCCGGCTTGTCTCTCAGCCAAAACAACACAATCACACGCAATCACAGCCTCAACTGCTTCCTACAGATTGAAAGAGGTCTTGATGGAAGACTATCAGGGAAGATCAGAATAAAGGACTGGGCAGAGCAGTCGCGCATGGGCTGTTAATAGAAAGGTAAGAAAAAGGGGCTGTGAAGGGGGGGTTATACACAAAGAGGAAACACAGTAGAGAAGAAAAGAGGCTGATCCAATTGAGCAAAAGAGACTGAAGGGGACAGCTAAGACACACACACACACACACACACACACACACACACACACACACACACACACACACACAAAAACAGAGACAAGGCGACTTGGAGGTATATTAAACTGGAGGCCATTAGTTCTAAGCCTGTGGCCTGAGGCCATGCTGTGCAGAACAGAGACAGCTTTCATTAGCGATGCCGGGTTCAGGGTTGTGTGGCCACGTATTTCCCCCTGTTGCTCTTTTGAAGTTTTCATTCATCACAAAAAGTATTCTCTCTTGCAATAAGAATAAGGCAAACTTCAAGGGGACTAGAATAAAAAGCAAAGTTTGACCCCATCAAATAAGTCATTTCAGTTATTGTATATGCTGTTTAGATCCTCCTCAGCTTTCAATGAAGATCATCCGAGTGTTAAACTACGACTCTGCCTTGATGGGGTAACACTTTGTCTGTGGGCTTTATGAGCAATAATACAGCCTGGAGGTGATGGCTCAGTGCGGCATTATCTTTAAGGTTATTTTAATGAATTCCCATTTACTAGTATCCCACACTAACATCTTAACTGAAAAAACAGAAGCAAAGGAGTGTCTGTTCTTGAAATGCAGTATTCCATACAGTATGTATCTGGATGACCTTCATGAAATATTATAATTAAGTTTTAATATATAGAATATATACTTTATATATATATACCTGGGGAAAGCTGTCATGAGAGCTCCTCCTCTAAAATCTCATCACAGACTGAGGCTGCCTTCAGGCACTGCCTTCTCACTGAAACTGCACATCATTACATTTTATTTTTTAGTGCTCAAACCATACAGTCTATGGCACAAATGCAGGAGGAGCACTGTCACATGATTAAAATCATGAAGACCCTTGTGTTAATTTATGTGTCCAATGAAATAATCATATTCTCTTACATTTCTAAAAGTTTGGACAAACAGAATTAGATGTTTTAAATAAAGTCAAGGTAACAGCCTTGGGTGACCTCATATTCCATCAATTCTTGACTCTGTTTAGCGAATGACTCACATGAATCATTTTACCATCTGATGCAGCTTCACGCTCAGGCCAAATAAAAATACTCCAAAATTCAGCCAAAACCCAGCATACCAGCTCTAGTTAATTGATCCTGTTTCAGATTTGTGTGGTATCTTACTTACTACTATTCAGAGCTGGCTGACCTAGGTCACATGTATATATACCAAAGAGGAAATATGAGGGGAAAATTACTCCCCCCTGGTTTGACATGTACAAGACCTCAAGATGCAACTCTATTCTAGCAAAGTTTCTCTCTCACATTCAACTGCCTGAAGAATGCATATCAGCGAAGCAGTGTTTTGATACGCAGCACTGCATATCTACATTAGTTTCACTTAAAGCTGAACTTAAATTTGAACTGCAAGGCTGTTAGCTTAAATATATTTCAGCTGCAACTTAAACAAAGCTAGTTCATGCAATGTGATTCTATATGCTAGAGTCTATTTAAGCTGCCAATGTTCTGCCCACTCTTTTGATTTTCTAAGGGACTGCACAACAATGCCTCCCTTTACCCCCTTTTGCTGAAAGGAGGGTAGTCCGGATTTTATCAGAGAGCAGGGGAGGGTGTTTTAAAAATTTCTCATCCTAAATTAACTCTTCCCTTGTGAGATTTTAAAGAATTAAAGAATTTAAAAGAAAATATACAAATTATTAGTAATGCTAGGAAGGGTCTTGCTTTTATTTAAAATTAAATCTAAGATTCAGCCCCTTCTCCCCACCCCAATCATTTTCCTAAAGTCCCTATAGTGATGCTGCTTCTGCAATGCTCATTTGCTTCCTATCTGTAACTGTGCTGCAGAAACATTCCGCCATCACCGCTGCAGCTGTTCACACGCTCACATGCAAACAGTCCAACACCGAGAGTTCAAGACAGCTTTGTGGAGCCATAACAGTGTTTACTTTCTGCTGCTACTTTCTGGCATTCAGTGATTTGGTTTTGGTTGTTGTCTGTCATATTAGCCATTATGGCTACTCGACTTGGCTACAAGCACACATTTCAAGCCAAAAGTATAGTTTTCTTGACGTTCCATTGTTAGAAATTTGAGACTGCAGAGACTGTTATATAAAATTGTTCAAATTTCTCCCAACCACCAATGGAATAAATTAAAATATAACACTGGTGGGGGTCATTGTTTTGCATACTGAGTGCTTTTTGCAGACTGTACATTTACTTAAGTACAGTTATGAATGCAGGAATGCAGAAATTTTCCTTTACAGTGTGGTATTGCTACGGCTTCTAAATACGTCTTCAACAACTGCCAGCAAGGAGCAACTGTAAGCAACACCATGATCAGACAAGCTGGAAACAAACCCTGAGTTTTACGGTTTTCTTCATATCTGACAGGAATCGTGGCAAAAATATCACCACTACAATAATGATAACTCTGAGCTTTCCAGTAGTTGTAACACGGACTTAAAGCTTCTGACACTGAGGTCATGTACATCTTACCCAGAAGTGTGATGATGCAGCCTAAAATAGCCAGGAGGGCGCCAGTGCTCAGGCCGGTCGCAGTGTAGGCCACAGCCCCACAAGATAAGGCAACACCATCAGAGTCACAGTCGCACACACGCACTGAGAGTGTGTTTGTGCTGCTGAGAGCAGGACTTCCACTATCCACAATCAACACAGGCAGCCGATACACAGGTTGCTCCCGTCTCCTGAAACCCCCTCGCTTTGTCAAAATGGATGCTGTGTTGTCTGCAAAATAGAGTAAAAGCATACATCGGTCATTTGAAAGCTGCATTTAATTTGCACATTAAGTTCATTACATTAAATTAACAATGAACTGCATGTATATGACTAGCACATGGCTTCACTTGATTGCTGTGGTTTGGTTGTGCAGTTTAAAATTATTTTACAGTATTAAAAGCAGGAATGCCAACAGATGGTGTCATTAACACAATTCATTATGTGACATGCTGTGGAGTCTCTCCCTGATCTTGACCACCTGTTGGCTAATAACAGCTTTGGTTTGATGGTAAAATCTTATATGAAATATCAGGGTATGACAGAGAAAGAGGCCGCCAGGAGAACAATATGCCATTACACCAGCTAAAAAAAGCCATTTCATGACAACTATTTCAATAGATTGAAATGCACTTTCATATTGAGCAGTCACAATTGAAATGTAGATTTTCGCCTTGAAGGACAACTCTTTTGTTTTTCTGAGCGATATTCAGATTACTCTGCTTTGCTCTCAAGAGTCTTACAACAAGCTAAAAATGAATATAGAGATGGACTGTCTTGTAAATGCCACATTAGTCAAATCAGCTAAATGTTCTCACGGCTGAGGAAAAACACACAGTTGGCTGGTAAAAACGGTTGAAAATAAAACACTTAAATTGTTAAATAAATATGCTCTGGTTCTAAATGTGATACTATAATTTGTCCTCAAGGGACATCTGCATGCAGCAGAGCAGAAAACACATACAAGTAAAAATAAGACGTTGATGTATTAAGCTACATGGCAAAAGTATGTAAGCAGCAGAACGTAACACTTATGTGACTGCTGAATAATTCATTCCAAAACCATGGGCTGCTACAACAGCCTCTACTCTTCTGGTTTCAGGCTTTCCACAAGATAGTGGAACCTGGCTGCAGGGAATTGCTCCCATTCAGCCACATGAATATTAGTGAGGTCAGGTAATGATACTGGCTCAAAGTCTGTGCTCCAGTTCATCCCAAACATATTGGATGGGGTTGAGGTCAGAGCTCAGGTCAGTCAAATTCTACCATAGCAAACTGGGAAAACTGTTTCTTTGTGCTTGGGGGCATTGTTGTGTTTAAACAGGAAAGGTCCTCCCAATATACAAGCCAAGCATCCAAAGAAATTGTGCTCCAGTTGGATGATTGCGCACAATGCCAGTGCACGAAATAGTGTGCCCTTTCTGTAGCAAAGCGGAGAGTAAGGGCGCAGAGATAGAGGTGGTGGACAGGTGTGTAGTGTGTCCAACCATCACAGACATGCAATTACTCCTATTCCCAAACGCTAGCCCCAACTCTTCCCTAACTTTAACCAAGTGTTTTAGTTGCCTAACTTAAAGGCCTTAAAAATTGATAAAAAACAAGAAACCAAACCAGCTTCTTACAAAAGTGACAAACTATGATCTTAGTTTTACATTTCTTGTTTTTCTTAGTGGTCAAACCACACCCACACAGGCAAGATGATTGTGAGTGTAAAATTTTTAAGATATATTAGGAAAAGATGTTTTGTTTTTAAAATGTTAGCTTAGCATAAATACTGGAAAAAGGGGGTACCGCTCACCTGGCTCAAGCAAAGCTTACTAATTAACATGACATGTTTGTTCCAGCTGTACAACAAAGGAATGTAAAAATTAAGTTTTTGTTTAACAGGAAGTTACCCATTTCTTGGCGAACTACAGTGACTAAGCTAACGTCTCCTGGCTCTAACTTTGTGCTTAACGGAAAGATATGACAGGAGGATACATCTTCTCTTCTAACTCTTGGCAAGAAAGTATAAGCATGTTTCCCAAAATGTTGAACTATTCCTTTACATCTACCCATGTTTTTGTTGAATAACCTTAACCACAGTTTATTTACCATTACCCCAATCTTTCCCTAACCTTAACCATGTTATTGCCATGTGCTAATATTGTAGAAAATATTGGAGTTAAATGATAAAATGACAATCTAACAGAATGTTAGAAAAAAAAAATACATACACTCAACATATTAAAATCAAGGTAAAAACCATTTCACATAGAACCTTTCTTCAACAAAACTAGCAAACACTGTTTTCCAGCCAAACTGCTTGTAATCTTTTGAGAGGTTACCTTAAACATCATGTAATACAGGTCTGCACTCAATTGGATTACTGTGGCACAACTTGGCGGCTGCTTCTTATATGTAACGTGGCAGCCGTAGCCGAGCACCCACACGTGTGAACAAAACACTCAGCACAGGGCATTACCTTCAAGAGCGTGTCAGCTCTGCACATACTTTTTTACAGAAGTGGGTATTCATGTAAGTAACTGATGGTGGCGGTTAACCGCAGTTCTCATTTCTGTAAACCTATATGCAAATGAACATTTATGTTATCCTTTAGGAGAAGCAAAATTCTTCTTTCGCCCACAGCTTTGTTTGTGTAGGTGGTAAGCAAATCATAAAGGCAGTTTTCAGCCTGTGCGTTAAGGTTAAAGTTATTCTCTGATGTAGTGCATAGAGACCTTGCACTAAGCAGAACAAGGCTGTGGCGTGGTGCATTGTGGCACAAACCGAGTAATCTCAGATGTGCTCCAGTTGCAGCAGAGAGTTTGTTCTTGCATTCAGTTTTGATGAACAATTACAAAAAAGGGCAGTGGGGGCATTGTCATAGCAGAATTATGGTTTCATTTGGCATGGCTGGGCATGCCGGGAGGCACCAGTTACTCTGTACTTGCAGAGTAGATTGTGTCCAGCCGGAGTGAACAATGGCCAAAGTGTCAATCGCATTGCTGCCAGGCTCAATTCGAAGGAAGTAAGCAGCAAATAGCCCGTACCTAACTTGACCAACACTTTTTACAGACTTCGACGGCCACTGGCAATTTTGTCAAGGGAGTTTTTGATCTAGCAGCGGTATGCAACAGGGTTGATCTGACAATTGGTGCTTAGACAAGGATGCAGACATTTAGTATAAGTTTAAATTGGTGACTGACTTCAGGGTTTCTGTATAGCTCAGAAGTTAAATTTAAGCCTTGTTAAGACCATATAGAATGACAATAGAATTAAATGCCTGTTTTTATGATCATAAGTATGAAAGCACGTTGGGAAACCAGTAGGTATAATAGGAACTATAATTATTTATTGTTAAGCTATATCACTTCAGTATTTCCCAGAGGTTTATACCAATAATTTCTATAATTTTTCAAGTATGAACACCATATGAACACCGTGTAATTGTTCCTCCAGTTCATACCTCCCAGTCAAAGATCCCTTCCTTATGAGGTTTCAGTGTAAGTGATGGAGTCATCATTTTGTGTAGAAATGTAAGTAAATGTGTCTGTAGCTAATATGAAGCTTCATAAGTGATTCTTAAGTGATATCTTCCAAAGTTACAGTCTTTTCCCCGCTTCATTGATCATATGGGGGATCTTTGAAAAAGTAAAGGGATGTTTTAATGTCTGGTATGAACGGGAGGAATGATTACAGCAAGAAGAATCTGTTTCGATGTCCATATGGGCACCTGACAATTACTTTAAAGACAATTTGTGAATCTTTGCTTTAATGTTATTAAGGCAACCTGGACCGGTAGAAAATGAATGGATGTATTACTCTATGAAGAAACATGTAGCTAAAATTTACCGTTGTGAAACAACAAGCTTCTGTACCTGGTAATAGTGACAGTATTTGCTACAGGTCTGATGGTGCTGATTGAAACTCGCCTAAAGAGGATTTAACAGCCTCTTGCACACACAATCAACTGTCAAAACAATCCATTTTCACACACAATCAACTGTCAAAACAATCCATTTTCAGTTTAGGTGTATAACAGCTCCCGACAGCCTGCAACCAGATAAAATAACACTTAATAACTAATGTAACTGGCAAAAGCAGGCAAGAGAAAATATTTAGTACTTTGTTAATTTAATAATTTAATATGTGTTAATACTTTCTAAGGCCTTTTTTTTGAGGAAATGCTTGTTAACACTTGCAGATAACCTGTACATGATTTTTTTTCTACAAGAGAGAAACCTTTCTACATTTTAACCCACAAATAATCCCAAAGTATCAGGGAGCCTAAAGGCAATGTTAAAGAAAATGTTTTCACACCTTTGTTATCTCGCAGGGTGAAGTTGAGGTTGCCGGCAACAGGTGCAGCCAGGGCAAAATAAAAGCGGTGACCGCTCAGAGGCTCGTCCTTATCCACCGCGCTGATGGTCTGGATCACCTGAGGACAACAAGAACACCCACAAGAAAAAAAAAATAAGCAAAGACATTCAAGATTAGTTACCTTGCTGATCTTTATCTAATCTCACTGTCTGCTTAGGTGTTAACCAAAGCTATAAATTGTTTAATGTGTGCATGTAGTAAGAGCTCTATGAGGGCATTGTCTTTAAACCTTTGTATGTGCATCACTTTTCACTCTGTCTGATTTATGTACATGGAGGAATAAATCTTTCTTAAAAGGCCAAGCAACAGTGTGATTGAACTGGGGGAAGTCAGCTTGATTCTGATTGATGGAAAAGATTTGTTTTATAATGTTTGGCTTTGGTTTTGTGTCATTTATCTCTTGAAGTGCAGTAAGTGCTTATTTGGCAAGAGCTTGGCACCATATTAGGGATGAAGTGTTTTCTTTTGGGAAGTGATTTCTCCAAAGCAAATTGTTGTCCAGCGGCTATTCTCTCAGTCCCAGCACCCAGACCATAACATCCAATGGAAAAAAACAACAATGGAAGTTATTTTTGTGTAATTTTTTGCATTTCAAATCACTTTTTTCAACTGACCACACAGTTTTCAAATTTTGAGCCTCTACCAAACAGTGGAGATGTCCTTTTTTGGTAAACATGTATCTCTACCAACCCATTGTGATGTCCAATTACAGTAAAAGTACACTTTTGACTGATCTACATTAATTTGTCTCCAGTTTTGTGAAATAGAAACTAATAAAATTAAATTAATAAAACCCCCCACAAAATTAAATAATTTGCCGTTCATTATATGTAGAACTAGCTCAATTTTGGGTGGGCCAACATTACAATGTTTACATAAGTATGTCCTATACACTTCAGTTTGTGCTCACCCTTTGGTAAGGAGTTGTACCACCTCCAGTGATGAGAGAAAAGTTTGTCAATAGCCAACTGTTATTGTGCGTACATTGGGCTCATTATTACCAATATGATCAGTATCACCCTGGATTTATCTTCATTTAAAAAAACCTCAAACAATCATACTAATATGATAACCTCAACAAATGTACAATAAAATAAGAAAACTTTTTCATACTGACATCAGTTTATAGTCAGAAAGAGGTTTCAGTTTTTAAAAAATGATTACAAAACCATCAGACATTTGGGAGTTGTGCATTTACATCCTCTAAAACTAAACTACAGCGAATCGTAAAAATACAATTAGTTATGAAAACCCCAATCAGGATACATGCTAAGAGGGATTTTCCTTGCTGCTAACCTGGAATGAAGTCAGCTGATAAGGTCTGGTTTTAAAAACTGCTGTGCACCTTGGTTTATATTTACATATATCAAGTAAATGCATATGCTATGCAGTCAGCCGTTCCTATTTCATTAGTATGAAAGTGACTCATGATAAGAACTGCTCTTGCTTGAGGCAATACAAGACAAGCATTCATATCTGTGAGTTAAACAAGTGAATGCTATTTGTTTCGGCTCACTTTATTTTGCCTCTGAACCCAAGACTAAACAGAATCTAGCTCCCTTTATTATATAGCAGTGTTGACAACTATAAATAATGCAGGAAATCAAATTACCAAATAAACCAATTTATTTACACCCACCAGCATGTGCTGTAATGATTTTTTTATTCATACAAACGTGGTATCCGAAAATCAAGTTATCTCTTTTCAGCAAAAAAAACCCCACTAAGCTTTCATTTCAGCGCCTTCTGTGCGACTCTCACTCAGTACATGCTGTACAGCAGAAGCATATCACACACAAACATGCCATATGGACGACAAATGATAGCCACCATGACGCCCATCAAAGTGGGTGTTACTGCAGCAGTGTCCTTATAAATTTAGATCAAGCCTCCTGAATCCTTTGTAGCCAATCTAGAAACTCAACCCTTTGACAACTCACACCCATGGACGGGATCCAAGAGATTCTTAAAAGCAATTCTCAGTAAATTATCACATCTCCCAGCCCCAAACAGCTCTACGCCGAACATCAAGACAAAAAACTAAATTAAAGAAAATAAAAAGGGGCGAGGAAGAAGAAAAAAATTACAGCCAATGATCCATCAGTGCTGAGACATGGATTATCAGTTGTCAGCTGTGATTAAATGCTGCTGGTTACAAGCTGTCAGGTATTAGGGGTTGGTGTAGGTGGTAAACGACATCCTGCCAATTATTAAAACTGGCAGGCGGGGTGAAAATTCATGAATATTTTACTGTTTCTAAACAAAATTAAAATAGTTGCTCTTTCATCAGCAAAAGTAATCACAAAGTATGCTTTTTTTTTTTTTTTACTGTTTACTGTTTGGTATTGCAGCGCAAGGGAAATTTATCTGGGAAGCAAGAAATGCAAAAAGGTTATCTGCTCTGGTTCGAGAACATTTGGGATATCTGCATATACAGACAGAAGAGATGTTTGTGTCAGCACCAGATCAGTGACAGGTAGACGCAACAATTGAACACCTAAACATGCAGTGTATGCATGCTCGGCTGCATATCATGAAAGCTGCCATTGATTCTGGGTTCATAATAACTCACAAGCCTCTCACTCTGTTATGGAAATTTGTGGTTCTTACACCGACACCTCATATACACAATTTGAACCTTTTGATGTCCTTTGAATATTGCAGATGGATTCGGAGCTTATCTCTAGGAAGGTTTCCATTCCTCGCTGCTGAAGGAAACGACTGTAAATCATCCTTAAATCAAACACTTTGTAATGTATAATGCCTTTCATTAGTGTGGCTCTGATGCAAGGCATTCCAGAGAACTCTTGGTGGGGAATTCTCTAATGGGTTGAGTAGCAGACAGGAGGAGAGAGGCATGGATGTAGGCATAAATTCTCACTGAAAGACATTAACAGCAGCGGCAGACTGGTGCCTGTCGCTAGTCAAGACTGAGGAGGCCTATGAATCACAGACTTAAAGGTTTTTTCAGTTTACACATGACTGCACGTCAGATCAAAAAGGATATAAAAGGACAAAGGCGTCTCTATTTGTCGCTTCGCAGGAGTAGGAGAATGTGCAAACAACAGAGGCAGGCATGCACACACATATGCAAACGTTTTCATTGCAAAAAATGTGAGGATAGTTGTCAACTCGCATTCAATTTTCAACTTTAATCTTAAATATAAGGATGTCTGCTGTCTGGTCATAAAGTTCAGGCAAGAAAACAAAACAATTACAAATGGTGAAAAACTTTTGGGGGGCATAAATTGTGTCCTTAAACTATGATTCCGAACATTTTTTACCTGTGGCCCTTTGAAAATGATGCACCGTCCACTCTAGCCCGACCCATACTGGATTATTGATATTTTATGATATCTATTTTCAATATCAAATCTGATAATGATATTTTAGCCGATAGTAATTTTTTATTGTGACCAGGATACACACTGAGCGAAACATTTACAGTTGACAAATATACTAATAAGTGCTCTCTAGTAGAAAAACTATTCTATGGTTTCCAAATAACGTCAAACCTAGTTTGGCATTTCCGTACTGTAGTTTTTGCTGATGCTAATATACTGGTGCATCTCAGAAAATAGGAATATTGTGAAAAAGTTATTTTTTTCCAGTAATCTATCAGTCAAAAAGTTAAACTTTTTTATATTCTAGATTCGTGTGAAATATTTCAGGCCTTTTTTTGTTTTGACCTTGATGATTTTCCTTACAGCTCACAGAAATCAAAAATCCATATCTGAAAATATTAGAATATTAGAATAAAGAATGTATAATACAGAAATATCAGCCAGAGAATAGCCATTAATCTCTCAGTCTGGAAAAAAAACACTTGTTACGCCTTGTTATACCAACGCTGTGATGTAAAATGGTAAACAAATGTACCGTCTACCTCGTACCACCAATTTTGGCTTGGGCTTGAGACTCACTTAACTTTTTCACAGAAAACAAAAGGGCTTTTGAAAGCAGTATGTATTTAGGAGGAGTGTCTACTGAAATACAGTATTTAGCTGCATTATAGCCACTGTTTATGGAGACAGTCTGACAGTCTGAAGTTGTTTCACCTCATTGCCATCAACTAATATGTAAAATAAAAAGTGACTAAACATCTGAAAAACAGTTAACATTTCTCATCAGAAGTTTAATTACGGCAAATGCCACATTTTTAATGTTGAACCATAGAGATTAATATAAAATTAATGATATGATCATTAAAAAGGAGCATCACAGATATGAGCAGGGCTGGATGGAAATGTATCTGCACCAGCATTCTAGCATCTAAAAAACCTTTCTAAATCAGCCTATATATTAGAGCCTTATTTAGTTTCACATGATGCAATGGGCAGATTTAATAAAAAATGTATGTATATATAAATAAATGTATAAATGTATTTTCTTCACACTAAGGTATTGGTATGACTCAGATATAACCTCAGGTATACTGATAACATTTTTTAAACGATTTCCAGCCCTATGAGTTTCAACCATAATCAAAAAACACACTGTTTTTTAATCCAAAGCCAAATACTGAGTCTGTACTTTTTGATTGAAGACTTGTGATTTAGATGCACATTTCTCCAGACATCGAACCACCCAGGTGATTAAGCTGAACCTTCACAGACCAAATGCTGACTGTTCACCCAGTACTTGCAGTCATTCCACAAATAACATCCTGCCAACCAAAATATATCTGTTCTCACCAGTGCACAGTTCAAACAATCAAGATTTTATTCTCCCAAACACCTGAAGTATGTTAGTTAACTGCTATGACCATAATTCACTGCTCCTATGACACAAGGCATCTGTGCTCCTTTGAGACGCATTGCTAATTTAGACTCTCACTGCAGACACAGTTAGGACTGTGGCCTCTATAATGAGGAAAGTAATGCCAGCTAATGTAGCATGGCTAGACTGAGATACTTTGGTGTGTGAAGAAATCTGAGAGATAACAAGCTTCAATAACACTTTCACCCTCTTTCACAACAGCAGAATAAAAATGCATCGCATTTTCAGAATCTACTCCTTCAGCTCTCTAAAATACAAAGTCTAGTCTAAAGTATTATA